ATTAATTTATTTATTAAATAAATAAATAAATAATCTCTTTTAATTAATTGATTAATGAATTTAAAATTCTTCTAATTAATTAAAAAAATAGAAGAATAAAAACAACATAAAATCAATGTTTATATTAAAAACCCTCTCCTGGACAATGGTTCAATTGACCCAAACTTTAATCACGGATTACTTTCAAGGGAAGCAGTAAGTCATATCTCTTAGAAATTAGCATGCTACTTCTAAGGAAAGCAATTAGTCATATCTCTTGTAAATTAATAGATAACTTCTAATAGAAATTGTAAGACCTACTTAAACTAATCTATTAGAAAAAACATCTAAGTAAAATAATTTATCCCTAATCAAACTATAGACAACTTTCAATGAAAGTTGTAAGACCTGTCAAAAAATAAAATTAATAGCCTATTTTCAAGGGAAGCAGTAAGATCTACTATTTGGAAACTTCTGAATGAAGTAGTAATCTCTAAAATATAATTAAAGGGCAACTTCTAAGAGGAGTCGTAAGCCCTGACCTAAATCAAACTATCGGACTACTCCTAAGTGGAGTCATAAGCCCCGACCTAAATCAAATCTACAGGCAACTCCTAAGTGGAGTCAGAAGCCTCATCCCTAAAAAAATCTTCGAGCTACTTCTAAGTGGAGTCGTAAGCTCAGACCTAAATCCAATATATAGGCAACTTCTAAATGAAGTTGTAAACCCCAAACTAAATCAAAACTAACAGGTAACTTCTAAATGAAGTTGTAAGCACCACACAAAATCAAAACTTAAGGGCAATTTTTAAATGAAGTCGTACGGCTCATCCTAAACTAAATTATCAGGCAACTTCTAATTGAATTCGTAAGCCCCATCCCATATAAAATTATTGGGTAACTCCTAAAGTGAGCAATTAGCCCAAACTAAATAAATTAATGGTCTTTGTAACATATATAAGCCCCAAACCACAATAAAGCTAAAACATACATCTAAAAAATCTAGTATATTCAAGATTCTTGAGAGAAGGCCATCCATGACTGTTAATCAAATTCTCTAGATGCTACAATCAATGATTTGTTAGTATTTACAGACTGAAACCTATGGTATTCCAAAGATAATATAATCATGAGATATTAATCGGGTCTATCTCCAATCCCCAACAGACAAGACTTAAAATTAAAATTTTTGAAGCTATATTAAATGATTCATCCTTGATTGAGAGCTCTCTCCTACAAAGTAGGAATAGTTAATTATGAGTGTTTGTGCTCATAGGAAATAAGGTCCAAGATCTAACTAAATCCTGATACAATCCTTTGGAAAAATCTGGTTAACAAAAGCTCAATCTGCTTTAAGGAAAATGAAATCCTAGATCTGAAAAAAAAGATTCGAATTGAAATGATTTTTTTTTTTTTTTTTTTTTTTTTTTTTTGAGCAAACACTTAGATAGCCTTAGTATGACTTATGTTTGTAGTTCCCAAAAAATATTTGTGAGTTCAACAAAAATTACAAGATATTTACTTACATATCATAAAATTATCATGCATTTGCATATTTAACATCTAATAATTTATATTTATTTATCTAACACTTAAATCTCTGAAATATTATTAATATTAATTTATTTAAATTAAAATAGAAATTTTCATGCATATATTTAAATATAATTAAAAATTAAAACAATATATAAATGTACATAAATTTTTTTTTTAAATGTTAGACACTGAAATATATTAGAATTTTATGAGAATTTACACAAATCTCCTAAATTTTAAATATATTTATTCAACATGACTTGTATTATTAAATTGTCTGATCAAAAGTCAATAAAAGGTATCCAAGCCTTATCTAGCATTGTTCATACCACCTAATAATGGGGAATTTAAATACTGAGGGATAATAATATAAAACTATTGTAGACCAATTAAATCAGTGCATCAAAAGTCAATCCTAGCTGGATTTTGTGTATGTGAAGGATCTTCTATATAAGACTTCTTATGAGTTAGAGATGTTGAGACATTAAATTGTGTATTTTATGTCTTAGTTTTATATAATAATATAACACAAATAAAAATTATGAGAGATCGGAATTTTTTAAATGGAGAGCCGAAAAGAGAAATTTTCATGCACAATTTTTTCTATATAAGACTTCTAATTCAGCTGAATGAATTTACTAAATAATGAAAAATATAAGTATTCTCTATTACGTTCAATTGAAGAAGATGAGATTATAAATAATTAAGAAAGTTATTGGTTTCATGTTGTTGGGATTATAAAAATTGGGTGTTCACAAGCAGGAATTTAAAACTAATAATAAGATTAGATGTTAATAGTCAATCAACAATAGTCGGTTAACAAAAGTTTGGCGATGGTGGCGATATTTGCTGTTGGCAATAATCAGGAAAAAAAATGTAATTATTTTGCTCTATGAGCTCTCAAATATCTACTTATGTAGAAATTGAGGCTCTATTTATAAAGGGGAGCAATTTGATAATTTGGTCATAATCCAAAATACTCTATCAAATGATCTATGTAAATCTCCTTGATTCTAGATCGTTTTTCCAATAGTTGAGTAGCATAATAATGTCAGAATCGACTGAACTTGGGCTCATTATATTCGTCTCGTTAATTCACTCAATTTAACTATAAGTATGAAATATTTGATGATGGTTTAGTCCTTCCAACTAATGTTCAAAAGTTTTCAAAAATGCTTTTGTCCATTTAGACAAATGGATCATTTTTTATCTCAATGGATTTGTCTCGTAGAGACATTCAATTCAACTATAAGTTGTGGAAATCGAAGTTTGGATAATTTTTAATTTAATTTTAAGAGTTTCCAATTCAAATATTTTCTTGAGATTCATGATGATCAATAGAATTTTCTTGGATACATTAAATCTCCTACCATAATTTCTATTTAGTGATTTATTTTTAGTTAGGACTAGTTAATTTGATGTATTAAGAATATCTATAAAATAAATTTCTATACAATATGATCAATTGGACCACATTTATTTTGTATTTTTGGGCATACCTAAAATTTAAAAATAGAGAGCCAAAATTTGAGAAAATTCTCATTCATATAACAATAAAAAAAAATTGTGCAAAATTTTTACATAGCATATACAAATATATGAGAATTTGTTCTAAATGTTAGGTAATTTCCTATCCTCTCTATTTGCACTACTAATTTATGAAGTAAATGACCTATGAAATATCACCATTGCATCAAAATGAACAAAAAGAAATTATTTATGCACGTAAATGTTTTATTTAGCAATTTTTTGCATAGCTAAATAATTCCTATGATTTAAATTATTAATTATAGAATTTGAAATGAATTTTTTTTTTTCCTTTTTTTCATGGAGTGAGGTTGATATGAATGATTTTAGAATTAAAATAATTGGAAGGCATTTGGGTAATTTTAAGCCCTTAATTAGCTTTAAAATTTTAGAGATATGGTGAAGATATAGAGATAAGGGGAAATGTTTTTCATATTAAAAATTAAGACATAATTAGCTATATATTTTGCACTAATTAAAAACATAAGATTAATTCAAAGGGCCAACTATGTAATGCCCAAAGTTCATACTATAAGATTAATATTGTATATGATATCTTAAATTGTACTAATATCAACATAAGTGTAAGAGCTTTAAGGCCTCTCTTGATATATTTTGTATCAGAATATTCCTTTTTTTTCTCTGTAAAAAAGTAAATTATCATAGTATTCTAATGTAAAATATAATTTGATGGATAGCAAAATTCTTAAATTTGTTTTAAGAATGAGGTAGAAAATGTAAAATTTTTTTAAGCATGAGGTAGGGGTGTAAGTGAGCCGAGGCGGCTCGTGAGCCGACTCGAATTCGACTCGATAACGAGCTCATGAGCCGAGCTTATCGAGCCGCGAGCTCAAGCTTAAACTCGAGCTCGTTTGTTAAACGAGCTCGAGTTCAAGCTCAATGAGAGCTCGGCTTGAGAGTTGGGGAGCCAAGCTCGATTGACCAAAGGCGGTAATTCCAAATGAGGAAGGAGACGTGCTGCGAGGCGGGATTTCCAGCGAGCAGGATTTCCAAACCATTTCGGTATTTCTTGACATAAAAAAAATATATAATGCTAATTTTATTTAATCTAACCAATGAAAAAGCCTGACAGCTGCTCTTATTTTTTGGGTAGGTGAAAAACTGCTGCTTCCTTTTGCTTTTTTTTTTTAAATCTCATTAATTATCTCAGCTCATCTCTTATCCCCATAAGAAAAAAAATATATTTTTTATTTTCAATGCTCAACGCCTCAACCTTCTTCTCCGTGGATGACGCGAACGAGGAAGACGACTCGCTCGAAGGTTGTCTGGACTGCCGAGGCTCGCGAGCCAGCTCGAACTCATTAACGCTGGAACGAGCTCGAGTTCGAGCTCGCCTTTCGAGCTCGACGTGAGCTCGAGCTCGAGTTCGAGCTTGCTTTCTAACTGACGAGCCGAGCTCGATAGCGTCAAAACTCGACTCGACTCGACTCGTTTACACCCCTAGCATGAGGTGATTCATGCAAATTTTACCTCAATAAATTATAATAGAGCTAATAACTTTATTAAAACTTTAAATTATATTCTATGGTGACTCAAATTTTAATTAGTTTTACACATAATCTAATGCAATATGCAATTATTCACATTTTTTTCTTTGCACAAATGCAATATGTAATACTTAGGCTTCATTTAGGAAAAAATTTTACTGCTTTCTAAAGCAATTTTATAGTAAGAAATTTTTAATAATAAAGATTTTTATATAAAAATTGGTTTTATAAAATAATAAAAAGTTCTTCTCAAATAAAACCTTAGTGAACTGAAATCATTAAAATATTCTTATAAGCAACATTTTAAAATACTACAAGCAACCTAAAGAAAGACTTTGGAAATTAAAATTGTTTGAATGGTCAAAGTCTCTCTTCTCCTTCTTCACAGCCAACTTATTAGAAATAGTAGTGAAAGTTACCTTACCAACTACTGAGCTTCATAAGGCACTAAAAAGACTTCATAAGCTGAAGTCTTCCAATGAAAATATATTTATTTTCTTAGAAGAATGGAGTATTTATAAAGGATTATCTTATGTGATTGGTTATCAAGTTTCAAGGAGCAAGAAGGGGCAAAAGGTGCCCAAATTCTCTTTGCAGAGAAGCTCAGAATGTGGCTTTCAAGACTGTTTTCTGGAAGAAAAGGAGCTCAATATCCCAAAAGTTTGATGCTAATCCTTCTTATCAAATTTTATTTAGATATGTTATGGCTTTATTTTCCATTTTCTGGCTTTGAAATGCAGAACTATGGACATTAGAGGATCTTTGGTTGCCCTTTTTTTAGCTGAATTTAGGCTAAAACTTGTCAGATGAGCAAATGACTTAGTTGGGTTTGTTAAATATGGTCCCCCTCATTCATTTGAAAAATTATTCTGTGCGGACACAGAACGCTGTTCGGAGTCAAATCAGAGCGTGCCACATCACCATTTTGATGTATATCGCTGTGTATCGGATGACATGACACGCTCTGATTTACCTCCAAATGGTCCGGTGTCCGCACAGAATAATATCTCCCCTCATTGGACTATGTCTTGGTGTGCTTCTCTTGTCGCCTCTTTTCTCCTAGTCTATTCTCTTTGTTGTCTTTACATCATCCCTCTACTCAAAGTGTTCTTCTTCCTTCTATTGGAACTCTAAGAATTTATTCCATCAAAAGTTACTAACATGTAATAAATACATACCACACAATTATTATTTTGTAACCTATCTAATATTTAAAATTTACTATTTATTTTTATAATATTTTAACATCTCAATTATATCAAAGTATATGCATGAAAAGATATATTTCATTTAAAAACATTAATATTAATATTATTCTCATACAAATTTTAAAGATTTACATGTTATACATTTTTTGTGAATTAGAATGACTTAGGCTTCATTTGGGACGGCTTTTTTGGTGCTTTTTAAAGCAGATTTCTAATATAAAAAAATTAATTTTTGAACTAGAAAATTATTTTAAGAAGCAATAAAAAAGCCGTCCCAAACGAAGCCTTAATCAACCCAAATACCATCCATTTAACATAAACTCAAGCCCATTTAACTCGAAACCAATAGTAATCGGGTCAATTTTGAATATACAAATCAATATAAACTCAACAAAATTAGGCAGAATATGAACACTGAAAATATAATGTCTTTCAGTTTTTGGCATTTTCATACAGCTTATCTGTGATAGTTTTATGCTTTTATAATCACAATTTGTCTCTGAAGAAGTTCTTTTTTCTGTACTGATCTGGAATTGGTTTAAACTTATTCAAATGGAAGCCACAACAGCTCTTCACAACAAAGGATCTGGAGATTTGATAAAGGGAGAGATGAAAGGTTCAAAGACTTCTGGAGGTAGTTTGATAATATGTTGATAATAAATTAGGCACTTCAGCTGCTAACTATGGCTTTAATCTATGATCTTATTGGTGCACTTATGCCTTACATTATACATGCTAAAAAAACCCAAGTTTTATTTCAAAAAACTTATTTTTAGTAAGCACAGATCCAATATTCCTATAGTACTATTACTTCTCAACCTAATCTTTCTAATTTTCCTACAAATTGTCTTAAGATTAGAGATGTCAATATTTGACACAACCCTAAAACCCGACTCGAATCCGACCAGAAAATTCAGGGTTAGGATCAACACGGACTTGAAATGGGTCGGATTCAGTTTCAACAATTCGACCCATTTCAAAAATCGGTCAGGTTCAAGTTGACCCTTTGACCCGAAATTGACTCGTTTTTTACCAAAAAACCCATTGTTGATCCGAAAACCCGAGGTTGACCCGTTTTCAACCCGAAAAGTGAAGATTGACCCATTTTTTGACCCAAAAACTAGAAATTTTTTGTCAGCCCCAGGTCATTCGGGTTATGACAGGTTGACCCGAACCCGAAGAAAATCGGGTTCGTGTCCAAAAAAACTGACCCGAATAGTGCCAAGTCAGTTCCGAACCCCAACCCAGCCCGTTACCTAAAATTGACACCCCTACTTAAAATTATGAGTTATCAACCAACAATCAGTTCAACATCTGAAGTCCTAAGGTAATTACTTTATCACTAAGCACACCCACTTCCAAATTCTGTTCCATGAAAATACAGATTATATAAATCCATCACCATACAGCTTCCCTGCTACATCATTGATCATACAAAGAGAACAAAGACCTATTTATTTGTTTATTTATCCAATAGAAAGACAAAATTGCTCTAATAGAGAAAGTTTCCTTAATAAAAGACTCTGCCTACATGTTTCCCTTCCCAAGCAACCCAGTAAGATGGTGGTAAAAGCCATTTTTAAACTGCTACAACAAAAAAGAACCTACCAAGTTCTTTAGAACTTTCCCAGAAAATTACTTCTAATTCACTGTAAACTTAATCAAATTTTATCAGCCCTTTAAAGCTTTTCATTCCAGAGAAGATAATGTCTTCAAGTGCCTAAATTTTCCTGATTTTTATTTTCAATAGGTTTTACAAGTGATTTCACAGTTAAAGATTCATCTGCCTATGACTTTCTATGGACAATAAAATCATTTTCAAAGCTTCCAGCTGACAATGAAAGCAAGCAAACTTCAGGAAGATTTGAAGCTAAAGGCTATTCATGGTTTGTTTACTGAGTTTTTTATTTAAATTTTTATTTATGTGTATATTTATGTTAAGTGTATACATTTTTCTATATAGGAAACTGATATTATATCCCAATGGAAATATTGTGAATGGTCAAATTAGTCTTTATCTAATGCTATCAAGAGCAACTTCACATCCAACCGAAGCAGTTTTCAAAGTCTCATATGAACTATTCCTTTTTAACCAGAAAACTGGAAGCACCTTGTCACAAAAAGGTAACTATACATGTGTGGAGAAGCTATTTTTAACTAAGGCTTCATTTGGGACGGCTTTCTTACTGCTTCTTAAAGCAGCTTTATAGTATAAAATTTTTATTTTTTATACTAAAAAACTGCTTTAAGAAGTAGTAAGAAAGCCGTCCCAAATGAAACCTAAATAGTTCAACGAAAAAAGATTAATGAATGAACTATTATATATCACATTTATCATTTTTATGTTGATATGGTTGTAGAAGCTTCAAAAGGGTAAAATGATATTTTGATATATGATAGCTCATTCACCAAATAATGGAACAAATCTAGTATTTTTCATCCTAAAAAGTGTTGATGTCTTTCTATTCAAGCCAAAAAAAAAAATCATTATCTCCATTAGTTTTGGTATGATAAGTTCAAATTGCAAACTATTTGCAGGTGAAAATCTTGTGCAGGTTCAAGATGAAATGGGTTTTCGAAATTTAATCGATCTCAAAGGATTCAAAGATTCTTCCAACGGATACCTTCTGAATGAAAATTGCATGTTTGGGGTCAAGATCTTCCAGGTTGTTCCCATTCAGACAAACACTGAATGCCTACAACCAGTTGAGAAGATCAGCCATGAATATACATGGAAAATTGAGAATTTCTCAAAAATAGACAAAAAGAAGAGCCATGAAAGAAAGTTTACTGCAGGGGACTATCTATGGTAATGGCATAACTATTATTCTATCAAGAATTTGAATAATGGATTTAAATATTACCAATTCAGGTATATGATGAATGAATAAATCCAGCATGTAACACATTTTTTTATGATATTGGTACTATTACAAAGGAGTATCTTGAAATAAATGTGGAATATAAGTTAAAAAAGAGCACAGGAAAAATTTACCATATTCTAGAGAGAGAGAAATGCATAGATAGATAGACAACTCAAAATTAAACCTGAAAAAAGTATGAACAAAAATATACCACAAGAAATTGCTTCACCAATATTCAATATTTCCTGGCAATGTTATTAGTCCTAGCAATTCATTTTGTAAGACTTGACATACCATAAATATGTTTTTGACTTACAAAAAACACTAATTTATCTCCATTTTTGTTTGCAATTTCCTCAAGCACTTCTCTCTGATAGAAACAATTATTCTACTATGTCACTAATATGTTTCTATTGCGACATGGAGGTCTATTGTTATTCATCCAGAAGGGGATCAAAAAAGCGATATCAAGGTCAAGGGAAAGAACATGTCTTTGTATCTATATTACAATGGATCTATATAAGACGGACCTCCCACGAAGGTTTCAGCAGAATTCTCCTTAACTATCATTGACCAAATTGGAGGAAATCATAAGAAAAAGACATGTAAGTCACAGTTATATATATATATATATATAAGTGTGTTTCCATTTTTAGTCCAGCATATATGTATTTCTATGAACCATAACCTGTAGCATGCTGTATTCTATTTTTTTCCAAAAAAAAAAGGAAGTTATGAAGGCAGGAGGGTGGAAAAGCAGATTTAGAAGAACTCGAATATGCAAAGCAATCTTTGATCATTCTCTTTTCTATTACAATCAATTATATTATCAATGAGTTATTTATCACCTAATCCTCAAACTCAACAAACAGAGTCAAAATTTGCTAATGCTTGGTTATCCCATAATATTGACTCAAAATTATTGAATTCATGCCAACTAAAACAAAATAACATATACTTCATATTTGTTATATTAATCCAAAGGCCCTTTCTTCTCATTTCAATGAATGAGGCACTGATCAAAATTATATCTATAAAAAAATTTACAACAAAACAACTCTTTTTGAATATCCTATGTAAACGACCTAAAAATAAGTATAGGTAATCATGTAATTAATATTGATACATGATATAATCCTATTTAATTAGGAACTCTGATGGCTCCATAACAGCTAATATTAACCAATTATTCTATCATACATATCTCTAGTATGTTCAATATACATCTCCAAAATATTTTTTCTTAATTACACCAAATCAATTTGCACAAAACTCAATCAAAATGACATTTTGAGATCAATTAACATCACATAAAATTCCTTATTTACTCCTAATATGTTTCTATTAATTGCTTTAATAAAAAAGGCCTACATATGAGATCCTTATATTTAAATTAGTTCTCAGATGCAAAAGTGATTTGGGTGAGCATATGCTTCATAACCCTCTGTCATATCTTCATTATGCAACTGAGCTTGATTACCCTATAATTACTCCAACCCTAAATACATATTTTGTTATGAAATATTGATATCAAAATACTTTCCTTCTAACATCATCTTAGTACTTAGGATTCTACTAAAAAAATTTGTTAGCCAAAACACTCTAAGATCTTCAATAACTCTCCCAAGTTCAAGAATGTCCCATCTATAATTAAAAGCTTTAATTATGCAACTTCTTCAATACTAACTCAAAATTCACCTTTCTATATAAATTTGTAATTCATTTCATGATTTTGTTCACTATGTTAACCTACAAGCCGCATTAGATTATTTGACATAGATAAATGACACAACTCTCAGTCAATAAAAGAAAAGTAATGTTCATTGAGACTATAGCTTCTCAATTATAAATTTGGTAAATGATAGAATATTTTTTGCTCTATTACAGATATAAACCAGTAAGAGGCTGGGCTTTGCATTATTATTAAAAATTGTTACGACAGGTTTCCTCCATGATAATTTGCAGGTGAAATATTCGTTACATAAACAGCCTCTTTGTAATGCAATGTCAACACAGACTACATAAATCTCTTTTGCTGCCATTGCCCACAAACCACACTACACAACTTATAGCATGTTCCTATTTCCCATTGTTATCATAGATTTTTCCGGATTAAAAAGTAATTATGTATATTCTCTCAATTGAGAATAATTATTTCCCATGGCTATATATAAGCACCAAAGAAATCAAACTCTATATATATAGTTAACTCTCTTTTTTAAAATCAATAATTTCTTTGAAACCATAATCAATTGGTTTATTTAAAAGAACCAATTGTTCAAGAAATTAAATTTGCAGTCCACTGTTCTTCTTTTGCAGATACTGAAGTGTTCAAATGTGCTCATCCTGGTTGGGGTAGGACAGACTTCATTCCTCATGAGGATTTTAATGATCCAACACTAGGGTTTATAGTTAATGATACTTGCATCATCGAGGCTAAAGTTACTGTCCTTGCATTGGTGAAATGATCTCACTTGTTCGTATCAATTGAACATGAAAAGGTAACGCAATTACCTACTTATAATTGCTTTGTTCATCCTTGCTTCCGTTAGTTTATGCTTTGTTGTTGAAATCCACACACGGTTTGTGATTTATGTTTAAATAAGAACCAGGTTATACTGGATTGATATGTAAATGTTCATTTAAGTAAAGATGTATTTGCTCCAAATATTTAGGTGCTATGGCTGGTATCTAGTAGATGATTGGTTTTTTGCAGAAAGATTAAAATGTAAAATAAACCATTTTGCAATGCTCAAACGTTTTGCATTTACTTTTGAAAAAGTCAAGGCAAAATAACATTTATGTAGTTCCGCATAGCCTTGCCAACTTCAACCATGTTTCAAGTACATAGTTTTGGGATGTCCACTAATGATCATAAAATCATGAAGCACAAGACGATTGCATGTAAAGGAGTGAGGTTTCAGAATCATTAAGAAAAACAGTATAAAGCAAAACCATAAATGGAATCAATGACTTAAATTTTACAGTTCTAAGATTCAGATAACATCAACAACAACAACAACATGACACCTTTATCCTACTACGTGGGGTCGGCTAGATGAATCATTTTTACATTGTGTCATGTTAAGAGTCAAATTATCATTTAAATCTAATAAAGCAATGTCATTTCTAATATTTTCTAACCCAATCTTTTTAGGCCTACCACTACCCTTCTTAACAAAGACCAAATCTACTACATCTACTCTCCTAACAGAGTCATCGGAAGGCCATCGTTTTACATGACCAAGCCTTTAAGATTCAGATAACATCAAATTATCACAGTGACCAATATATCATGCAAGCCCTTAACAACCCTTAACTTCTCCATTGCCTTATATAGGGATGTCCCGACAATAACTCCTATATAAGATCAAGATTTCAATGAAAATAAAACTTAAAATTTGCCACAAAACACACACACACACAAATGAAAAATATACCTTGAGGTTGTGATACCATCACTATTTCGAGAACAAAAAAATCCTGAGAACTAGCATGTGCCTAAGCAAGGCATTCACTCTCAGGCCTCTCCTCCAACTCCTAATGACAGCTATCTAATGGTACAAGCCAACCTCCCAGACCACCATTTATGGATGAGGTTATAGTTTTTGAAAAGGAGATAGGAATCTAGCCCTTTGGGTAATTCATTATGAGTCCACCCACCATAAGTCCAAGTTATGTAACAAGCGCTACACCTTTCATGCCACAATATGCTGAGATAAACCTAAGCTCATATGAATTACAAATAATCTTTAGTACTACTTTACCGATCAATCCCACTCCTGGTACTTTTATTTTATTTAAATTAAAAATTTTATTCAAACATTAATATCTACAGCTAATAGGGGTTTAAAAAAGCTCCATGTGAGCAAAGAGCTTAAGTTCAACTCAATAAAAGTTTTTGTTCGGGTCATTTTTAAAGGACGAATTTAAACTTAAACTCTTTTACAAGACAACTTGAAGATGAAGAAGAACAAGAGCAAGAATGAAAATGTTCATGATAGGATATGGACATATAAGAAGTATTTATACATACATATACTTTACAGACTTCTTAATCATAAAATCAAATCCATTAATCCAAAAATTGGCAGTGTTTGATGTCCATCAAGTTGGCTTGTTAATCTGGCTCAATAAAAATGAATTAAACATGAACAATCTTTTTCTTCTTGTTAACATCCATGTTCACCCCAATAGTTATTACCGAATAAAGCCAAACAAGATCTAAATTCATTCAAGCTTGGTTCATTTACACCCTTTTAACAGCTAAAAAAGGGATTGATCTCAGTAGTGATTTATCATAAAGTGGCTATACGAATTGAAAATTTGAAACATTGTTAAGGCATCTAGGAAAATAAAAGCTTTAAATGGGACTATTAGAGTTTCTCATAATAGCTAATAGCAATAGCATCAAATGGCCATCGGCAAACATTAACCAGTGCAAACACTAGAGGTAAACATAGTACATACAAATATGACAAACAAAAATACCGAACATATACCATGAAGATTAATACCCGCCTAAACAAATAATTTTACTACTGCATAAAGCCAATGAATAAGAACAATGCATACACTAATATGTTCTTGTTGGGAAATTCCTAAGTTAAGGCGATTGAATCTACTCCCAATCCAAAGGAATGTTTCTGGCATGCAACAAAAAATGACCATGAGTAAGGATGGCATGCCCGCCCATGGCAGTGTACAATTTATTGTCAGATTTCTTCAAAATCACAGCCAGAATTTTGTTTACCTAGTTGAGGACTAAATTAAAGTAAAATACAAAATAAAATCATTTTCTTTTATCGTCATAACCATACAATCAATTGAGGATTAGTCCATAAAAAGAACAATAATGTTTTTCAATAGTGATTTAAAAGGGATGAGTGTAGGGAAAAGCATTTTACCTCAATATTGTTCTTTCAATTTAGTTTTTTTTGTTGAATAGAAAATTTATTTAATAACTTGATAACTTCAAAATTAATCTTTAAAAGGGATGAGTGTAGGGAAAAGCATTTTACCTCAATATTGTTCTTTCAATTTAGTTTTTTTTGTTGAATAGAAAATTTATTTAATAACTTGATAACTTCAAAATTAATCGAGGTCAACTTATATGGCAAGCCATGCACCTTATCAGAACAAAAGGTGTGCCCCCTTTGCCCCGAATGGTGCCCTATCTTGTAGGATTTATAACACAGGTTGAATGCCTCCCTGAAGTGCCTCAGGGTGTGCAACAGGCTCACACAAAAAAGATTCCTTTCAAAACAATAATTTACACCAAGATAAAGAACTATTTTCAAACTTTCAGTTGATAAGCTAAACACATAAAACAAGCATAAAATTCATACAAGCACAACTAACTATCCAGCTACTGGTATATTCACCACTATTTCTGACATAAAAACTAGCAATTCATGACCCAACAGATAAATCTAAATAACACAGCAGATAATTATGCCAATGTCTTATTTAACTAGAACATCAGAAGGAGGATTGGAACCTTCAACCAATGGTGTTTTCCTGGGGCGCCCAACAGATCTCTTTTTCACCTCCAAACCTGTAGTATCCTCAGCCCCTTGAACACTTCCAAGTATGTCTGTCTCTCTAGATTTCTCTAATATCTCCCGTGTATTTCCAGGCACCAGCAAGTCTCTGATCTTCCATGGTCGTCCAGGCCCTTTCGCAACAAGATTTGCAGGCTTTCCATTCCCATCTCCATAACTCCCTAGCTCCTGCCTAGAAAAA